CGAGGCTAATCCCTCTGGGATTCCGAATCGTGGAATCATTTTTTTAGCATCACTCGGACCACTTCTTTTGCTTTGTTGGTTTGGCACGGGAAGGTCTCAGTCCATCCAGTCAAGGTGTCCACGAGCACTAACAGGTATTTGTAGTGTCTCTTCTTGGGAACTTCAGAGAAATCTATCTGCCAACACTCTCCTGCTAATAGTCCTTGTCTTCCTGCTCCTGGAGGAGGTTTGGGGAAAATCTTAGGATTGTTGGCACAACAGACAGGGCATCTATTGCACTATTTGTTCTGCTGTTTTAAAACTTACGGTCAGCAGGTGGCACTCTTTCTTTGTTTTTGCTGTAATTAACAGCACTCAAGCATATATAAAAACTGATGGGACACTTTTTTTCTCCCAATTTGCATTCCATGGGTGGCACAAAAGGACGATGCATCCGCTGGCTCCAATTATGGGGATCTTGGTTTGTTTTTTTGATAAGGGTCCTTTAAAATTAGTCACTACTGAATGCATGGCTCCACTGTCCACTAAAAAATCAATGAGTTCTCCCCCCCACTTGCATTCTAACCAGGGGCTCATCAGGGGAGACGGGTATCACTTTGATGTTTGTCCCCGGTCCCCGTCACTCTTGGTCAGAATCCTCTAGCACCATTACTCTCTCTTCTCCGTCACGTTTCTTTTCCCCCCTTTGGGGGCACTCATTCTTCCAATGCCCTTCCTGCTTGCAAATAGCACACTGATTAGGTCCCAGCTTGGGACCCTGGCTGTAGCCTCCCGGAGCATAGCTCACGCCTCCTCTATGCCCTTTATTCCCCTGCCCCATCCTCTACTCCTCTGATTTATAATTGCCGCTGCCAACAACGATGCTTGTAACGACGCCTGTGTCTTTATTCTCTTATCTTTTTTTTCTCCTTAACCTGATCTCGGTTGGAGTATACCTTATAAGCAATTTCAATCATTTGGCTGAAGCTCATTCCAGCTGCTCCTTCAGCCTTCTGTAGTTTTTTCCTAATATCTGGGGCTGACTGTCCTATAAACAGTGTGTTAAAAATCTTGGCATTTTTTTTGCAGCTCCGGATCTAAATTCGTCCACTGTCTGGCTGCCTCGCATAACCTCCCATAAAAACTGGACAGATCTTCCCTCTAGACCCTGCCGCACTTTGTATAATTTAGACAAATTTTTTTGTTTGGGGATAGCATCCCGGAGGGCAGCCAGCACAAACTCCTGATACAGCTCTAACTCCTTCCGGCCCTCTCGGGTGTTGGGATCCCAGTCTTGTTTTTTTTAAGGGCAAAGTTCATCTATATCACTGGCTGGGTGACGCTGCTGTGTTATCGTGCATGCTTTTTTTAAGACCAACCTCTTTTCTTCTGGAGTCAGAAGAACGGTCAGTAAGGCCTGAATATCTATCCAGTTTGGTTGGT